ATATATATACACACACACACACACTGTACTTTTGCACACACGTGCGACGAGCATCTGCCGAGCAACGTATATCCGTTCGCCAATTGCGGTTGATTGTTGATTTCACGAGCCGTGTTGTCGTCGCCTCGTGCTAATTGAACGGCTCAACGAATTTTAAACGAGTCCGTCGTGCGCCAAAAAGACACGCGGCTACGACCCGAGGAAGCGGAGAGAGAACGTCAATATAATCATTTAACGTCTTATGGGAGATACACGCGGTGGTCCCCGTGTGTTCTCGCGAATGAAGTCGTCGCATCCGCGGCTTATCGACCTCCCGGCGGCCTTGCAGCGGTGCTCAAGTCAATTCACGAGCGCGCGCGCGCGCGCGTGCTCGAAAGTATGTCGGCTGCTCGAATATCGAGCAGAAGGTGAATGCACCTGCTGGACCTGTTCGCGCCAGTTCGAAATGTGTGTCCGCTTGTTGTATTGTAACGTTCATTAGACGCGCGGAAAAGCGTCACCGTAGCACTTAAGTCTGAAACTGTGTGCGAGCACGATTCGGGTTTCTTTATCCCGCGGAATGGTTTGTGGTTTTTTTCTTTTTTCTTGTTTTGACGTGAATATTATTGAGAAACTCTGAGATAAATCACCGCTGGCTCGAGCGTCGCAAGCAATGGCCAGTGAGAGCGCCGATCGATGATCGAGGGAGAAACACGGAGATTTCACCTGGATTGTAGTAATGGCACTTCCTGATAGTCAGGTGGAAGCGCTTCGATCCGAGAATAAGCGATATCGGTCCCGACGCACCGGGAGAACGTATAAAATAGCTTCCAACGATTCGCAAAAACATATCGGCGGAATTTGTTCGACGTGGCAAAGCGCTCGTCGAAGTTTTTTTTTTTTTGTTTTTTTATTTTTTTCACGCGGAAGCATCGATCTCACGTCGTTTGCGTAGGTTTATCTCTCGAGAAAGTTACACATATAACTACATGTAACTATTCTTCAACTATATAAACACCGGATATAAGAAAAGTAATTTTAAATTATCCGCTTCTTGAACTCGCGCACGCAAAAGCGCGATTTTACTATCTTACTGTCTTTTTTTTTTTTTAAATTTATTATTTCCGTCTCGCGTCTGAGGCGGAATCTCTTTTTAAAATTGTCGCGAAGAGAAGTTTCAAGCTTTTACCGTTTCAAGAACTTTTCCTTCTCTCTGTGTGGTTTTCCCGTGCAAGAAGCATTCATTCCTTGTCCAACTGGTACTTCTAAACTTTTTTATCTTCCTACGTGAGGAGGGAGGTCACAACTCGCGACACTCCCCTCGCTACGGAAAAACCAGAATTACCGGAACGGGTCCGATCGCGGGCCTTTTCTACAAAATTACGAACAAACTTGAGAATAATAAGTTAACATATGCGCGCGCGCGCGCGCGTACACTTTCGATTATCGAATCTCGAAGTTCGTCGCATGACGATATACACGCGTCCGTGGTTCTTTTTTCCCCATCTACTCACCTATAGTATCACAGAACTTTTCAGTCAGTTTTCAGATCGAGCGCGAACCCCCTTCCCTCCCTCGTGTTTGCTTGAAAACTTTTATAAGGAAACTTTTCGTCAGATATTTATTTTTTACCGAATAAGAGACGCTCTCGCGAACATTGGACGACTCTCTGACACAAGATAGAGAGACGGTAATTTAACTCCGATAACTCCCGGGTTATTTTTTTTTTGCTCCTCCGGAAAAGAGATTGTAGCGAGCAAAGGCAATTTTCGAACGTGAATTTTCATTCACGCGAGTTCGATACAACACAACGAGAGAGAACGATTACGCAATATCAGCAAAATAGACACCTCGGTGTAGATTCCTGGTGAGGAATTACTCTCACACGTTTATTGGATAATATCGCGTTTTATTATGTAATGAGTTCGCGAATAGAAAGTGCAGTATGCTAATTCAACGCTTTATCCGGTGTGTCTACGTGCGTTCTGCAGCTAATACGCGCGCGCGTGTATTGGACTTTTTTTTCCGTCTCTCTCTCTTTTTTTGTATCCCGCGCGCTCGTTGAGACCGTTCATTCTCTCAGTCTCGGACGGAAAAAGAAAACTCGGAAATAACGGAAGAGCAAGTTTCTATTCGGCAACAGTGAGAACTGGTCTAATTAACGCGCACTTACGTTAATGATCAACCGCCAAGGGTGTACCCCGCCGCGTTACGAAGCGCGACGCGCGCGGCGCGGAAAGATTCAGGTTTCGAGATTTCGCGGACGTGGTCTAAAGGAAGACGAAGAGAGAGAGAGAGAAAAGAAGACGAGATATAATGATGATGATGATGCTGCACGGGGCTACGGATGGGATCGAACACTCGACTCCGGTCAATCAAATTCCTCGATGAGAAAAATTCCTTTTATAAAAGAAATTCTATATCTTTGTTCGACATTCATTTCATTTGCCGCTTTTCGGTCTCTCAAATTCGGTGGGAAAATTCTCGAGGGGGGGGGGAGAGGGTGGAAAACCACGCGCGTTCTCTCTCGGTCAAGTTCGCGCGCCGATTTACTCGCGAGACGCTCGATCCCATCGCTGACTGACTGTCGGGTGCACATGTGCATTACGCCTGTGAGTAACTGTACTCGGTTTGTGTGTGTGTGCGTGCGTGCGTGCGTGCGTGCGTGCGTGTGTCGCACGTATAATCTCTTGTGTACCGTGTGCACATACGGGCCTCGATTGACATACGAGCCTCGTGTGTCCGAAAAGATTCGTCAGCCCGGCGACGCGTCGCGTGGCCGCGCGTGTGAGGCATCTCACGTAACTTCTTATAATTCAGATATGACATTTAGAGCGGTCGTTAAATTTCGCCGCGTGAACCGACGACGATCGACGAAAGAAGAAGACGGTTCGTCCCCCTCGTCCGGCGGGAATGTGGGTTAGTATTATAACACGCGCGGAGCGAAAAAAAAAAACGGCGTTGCGCAGGACGATGAGACCTACTTGGGCTTAAATCGCCGCGGAAATAAAGCGCGTAAAATTAAATTTTAAAATATCGTTTTCAGTCTCGTAAATTGTGTGTTTGCGCAATTTTTTTATTTTTTATTATACATATATAAAGCGTGCGTGCGTGTTTACAGTTAGGGTTCGAAAACGTTTATTAGAGCGTATCGCATGTGTAAAGTGAGTTAAATTTTACGGGGAAGATAGAAGAGAGATTTTGACACGACACGCGGAGGATTGCTCCGGACACACGAAGAAGACTCATTCAACAGAAGCGTCAGACGATGAACGGGACGGTCTGGTTAACTACTTAATTAATAACGAAAAACGAGTGCGTGTAAGCGCGCTTGCTGCACATGATACCGACGTCGACGTCGTGCAGGGAGGAAGGGAGAAGGTTCCTTTGTAAACAGTCGTTCACCACACACGCCCGCGAAATTAACAACGCGGTCTCGCGCTTAATAGAATTCCCGGTAGCGAAGGAGGAGGAATTTTCTTCTGTGGACTTTGATCGCGTAACACACAACATCGAAGTAAAATATTCAAGCGAGAAGAAAACCGGAGAAAATCATCAGCATCATCTTGAGAAAAAGATGAGCGCAAATTGCGCTAATTCGATTTCACGTAGGCCGTCACGTTTCTCTCTCTCTCTCTCTCTCCTCGACCTTTAATTATCTTTAATTAAAACTCAACTCGATGAATTCATTATAAGACTTCTTCCGCACAACCCGGGAATACGTTGCGAACAATTGTTTATCGGTGAGGATTGATTTTTTCGTCTCGAGTTTTTTTTTATTTCTATTTTTTTTAATTGTCATGCGCGTGAGAAAAATCCGGAAGTCGCGCGCGGGAAATACGCGCGTCTCGATACCTGCAGAGAGTGTGGGAAGTTTAGAGGAATGTCGCCGATAAGATGTACACGACGACTCCGGGGTTCATAGAATTTTACGTCGGTAAAGACAACAAACGTTGTCGGGGGGGGGGGGGGAAGCTCGACCTAGTGTTCTCAACTTGGAGAATGTGACCAGCCCGCCGCCTCCGTCGCTTGGAAGTGCACAGAGCGCGTTTATAGACCCACATAATCGAGAAACCGGCAACCGCATTCCTCATACACGTACTAATGGACCGTCTCCACTACACACGGGCAAGTCCCTCGGGTCTCCCGCGCGAGGTCTTTCAATTTTCTCGCCCGGCAGTTCGTCCGGCTTTCTTGCCTGACCTCCTATGATATATATCTGGTCACCAAAGAGGAAGAGACGTAATCAGAATAAAAGAGAGAAAGAAAGACAGAAAACAGGACGAGAGAAAAAACTCGTCAGAGATAACGTCTTGCTACTTTTAAAATATTCAAACGCCTAGAGAAACAAATATCTTGTGTCGAAAAAAGAAACCTTTGCGATCATCCTTTCGCAACATTTTGCTCAGCTCACGTTGTGCGAGTCGAATTCCTGCAGCGGTCAGCGATCCACAGCTCCCAGCAGTGGCCTAAATGCCTGACACACATAACGGGAGTAACATCGGATCTAACGTTGCATTAGACGGTTTTGTAAAATTCCCTGGGTTTTTCTAACGTTTCGATTCCTACAGTCCGGTTTGCGCGTACAGTTTTGAATAATATTTAATTCTCTCGCGAACCGCGTATGACGTGCTCGCAGAACCATCGGAAGGTGTTATTTCAACATTAGAAGGTCATACGTCGCACGTAGAAAGGATAGAAAATGACAGTGTAAAGCGCGAGTATATATACACACACAGCTCGCACTTCAATTCACCTGCGTCTCACCTCGCGCGCAACAACTACGATAACAGTCGCGATGGACGTTAGAGACAATCCCTTTCGTTCGACAGTGAACCGAAAATGTCAGGTTCTCGGTTAAATTCTCGAATGTATCGACGGTCTTCCATTGTTTTCTCTTTGTTCGTTTAGGAAATGCTTGTCTAAACATTATTGAAATGGCAGAATTGTTTATTTTTCTTTTTTTTTTTGGAGAGAAGGTCTCGATTTATTGACGCCTGATGATGAATTACCGATTGCAGCCGAAGAATGCGTCGAGTCCGAGACGGGATGCAGAAGATGCAGAGCGGGAACGTGCGCCAGATGCGCCGGGTTGCTGTATCAGGGCACTTGCGTCCACACGTGCCCGTCGGGCTTCGTCGCCGATTGGTCCACTCGGGACGAGTACATGGGCCGCATATGTCGCGAGACCGGCTACATGTTCGGCCTCACCGGTAGCCAAGTAGCGATTCTAGTGGGGGTGGTTTCCGGGACGACGATATGCCTCTTGATCATTCTGTGCGGCGCGATCGCGGTCGTCCATCGCAAGAAGAAGGCGGCGAAGCTGGCGCAACAGTTCAAGGACAGGTTCGTGGAATTATCACATGCGCGCCGATTTTTCTCCTCTCTGTGTATACATATACCTATATGTATAAATATCGTGTCAGTCCAACATCTGTTGGAGCCGTAATTCGTTTTCGTATTTCCAGCGCGGAGAGACGGGAGTTTCTGAAACATCTGGCGACGCTGCGCGGGGAAGCCGATACTTTTCTCGCTATGCTCAACGACACCAGAAGACAAGTACGGGAGTTGTTGTATTATTCGGGTAGCAATGGCGACGGTCCCGTCGGGATTCAAGCGTACAGGTACGTTGCTTAGGGAATTGGCTTTTAACAATTAGAAAGATTGCCGATTGTGCATCCGGATCGCGCGTTAAACTCTTTATGAATTTCGCAGGCCGGTGTTGCGCGATCTGGTGCGGATATTGGTTCTCGTGAACAGAAGAGACGACGAGATACCACTCCCGCCCGACGACTGGCAACGACTGTTCTCGTGGGCCGAGCGGCTGCTGAGAAGATACAAGAGACACAGTTCTCCGGAGGTGAGATCCTTGTTCTCGAAATGGACTTTGTTTCTTTTTAATGTCAAAATGAAAATGATGTTATCTCGTTGTTGTATCGATGATGTTATCTTACACTTTCAATTCTTTTTCACGCGCCAGTCCCTAAAATACTTCGGTGAGTTTGTACATGCTCAGCATGTGTTTACGCAATAGCGTTAGACGATATAGTTCTCCGCGTCGAGCCCCTTCCCTTTCTAATGAAACAACATCGACTGCTTTCTTTTTACCTCGCGATGAGCGTCCTGTGCCACACGACATCTGTCTCACGTTAATTTCTTTGTGACTTCAAGGTGGCTCAGCTCGTGACGTTTCTGCAACAGCCGACGAACAACACCGTTCAGACGACTTCGTCTCCGACGCAACCGGTCGCGACGTTGCAATCGCCTCCTCGTCAATCCGCGTACGAAACAACAAGAAGCACTCCTGCTAATCTCACGACGTTCCAAGCGAACGTGCCCCTCTCGACGTTTCAGGCGAGCGACAAGTCGAGCATCAGCCCGGCGAGCTCGAGCCTCGGCTACGCGAAGGACAGCAGCCCTCTCGGCTCGAGTCTGGGTCAGAACAGCACCTCCGGTGTCTACAATGAGAAGCTGAGTCTGAACGGGTCGACGATCGGCCAGACGACGCCTCTGGTCTACGGTAGCACGCAGAAGCGTGGCGGGCCGAGAACGACGAACGATCTTCAGGAGCTCCAAACGATTTCCACGTTCAATCGCGGCTACAACGGCACGTTGCCGTTGGACGTCAACAACGTTCGCGCTCTGCACGACGAATGCGAGCCGAGCGACGGTCTGGATCGCGACCTGAATCCCCAGTGGAAGTTCCAGAGCAGTCCTGTTGAGGCGGCCAATTACACCATCCTGTCGGACTGGTCACCCGCTCGCGACTATCTCATCGACGACTTCACGATTCTCGGCTTCCGACCGCAGGACGAGATCACCACAGAGTTGTAATATCCGACTGACGTAACGTTACATCTCCAAATTCTCGCGAGTTTTGTAAAAAAAAAAAAAAAAAAAAAAAAACAAAAGAGATTATACAAAAACGCTCACGTGTTCGAAGTTGATCGGCCGTTTTCGGCAATCGATCTCCTTGCGACTCTCAATCCATTCTTGCACGCAATACTAAGTAATAATATTTTCGTATTGCATGTAATAACGATGTTCAAACAGCTAAAAAAACAAAAAGTAAAATCTCAAACACGTAGAAATATAATAAATTGTGTTGGTAAAGTCTGAATGTAAGAAAAAAAAAATTATTTAAGCAAAACTAGGCCATAAAGAAAAATCGAACGTAATTAATTTTTGCTTGTCGATTGTCGTCGGTGTTGTGCGCAAAGTCAAAAACTATTGACGATGTGAGTGTAAACTCGAGTTCTCTCCGAGTTGTTTTCCGCGTAAGATGTTCTAACGCGAAATGTTGAATAATGTAGTACGAGAAATTTTAAATTTCGAACAACAAAGTTTCATATCCACTGTGTCAATTTAAAAAAAACGTATCCGCGAGTACACCGTAGAAAGAATGAAATACCAAATAATAATCATGAGAGCCGTAATGGAAATAATAATATTGGATTTTTTATTTATACGCGTTGTGTGTACAATACTTGTCTAAATAACGATTATTGTAATAGGTATTACGTAGTGTACTAGTCAACGTTTCCGTTTCTTCGATCGCACATCGATCACGGATATGCGTCGAAAGCGCATCTTCGCTGTAATATGTTTATTTCGCAAACGGCATGTAGAGCAACATTCCGTTTGTGTAATAACATGACAACTTAATAGCAAAGTGGGAACAAAATGTATAAGTCTCTCTTATATATATATATATATATATATACAGTCTCAATTTTATATTTATATAAAAAACACTCATATATACCACACAAGCATTTGAGTTGAGTGTATCGTTACACCACGTGTGACCACGCGAAGCGGTCGCTTTGTACAAACCGATGTAAATATTAATTGATATTTTAGTAATAAATATACACATGAGAGAATAACAAACGTGTGCGAGATATAATATATGAACTTATTATATAAATAAAATTAATTTTCTTTTTCGCTTTTGTTGCGGAAACTGTCGAACTCTCTCTCCTGCGACATTTCCACTTTTCCGTCCTTCATTATTACACGCGGAATCCAACGCGCTTTGGCAAAACGAATGGAGACATTTCAAAGAACGTCTAGTAGATAAGCGAAATACACAAGGAAACAGATCACAGCAGAAAAAAGATGGAAGCGGCCATATGATAAATTGTAATAGCTTTTCCGCCTTGTAAGCCAGCGCTATGTCCATGAGTGGTGCACATTGCCAATTACATAGCCATGTTCATGAGCGACTTGACGGTGCGTGCGCTTTATCCAAACGTGGACATGGTTCTATTCATTGATGAGAAATCAAATCCGCGCACTTTACCTTCACTTTTTTTCTTCATCTACTTACCCACACATAGACGCTCGGTTTATCCGTGTAACTCGGCAGCGTCGACGGATAAACCGAACGTCTATGTGTGCGTAAGTAGAAGAAGGAAAAGAACGGTAGCGTGCGCGAGCACAAATTCTCATCGCTGGTTCTATTCCGCGCTCTGTTCACAGCGTGCAGTTTTATTCTGTGCAATGTGTGTGTATGTCTGTGTCAGAGTTGCAAGATCGAGCCGGGAGCAACGAGAGCATCGAAGCGGTGGGAGCACGCACACAAGCGAGAACTGCTGTCTGTGTGCGCTCGGCTCGTGGAAGAGTGCAGACATACTATGTTTCGTCTCTTTCCCATCAAGCCGGCCACAAGGTGAGGCACGTTACCGACGTTGCGCGCTGTTCTTGCGTACGACGATATCTCGAAACACTTTTTCGAGACTTAGTTTTGTAAAAAATACATAAAATTATTGAGAATAGTAAAACATCTCAACACGTATTATGTATTTATAATGTTAAATTATTAATAGTGAATTAACTGCGATGTAACATTTTTAAATTATTGAAGAAAGTTTATTCATCCTCATTCAACCTCCGCCGCGCGGCCTTGGCGCGGTCATTGACCTCGGCCGCGCGGCCTTGACGCGGTCATTGACCTCGGCCGCGCGGCCTTGGCGCGGTCATTGACCTCGGCCGCGCGGCCTTGGTGGGGAGGGGGTCACTGACCGCGGGGGCGCGGCCTTGGTGGGGGGGAGGTCACTGACCTCGGCCGCGCGACTGCGGCGGTGTTACTGACTTCGGTCACGTGATTACGGTATATTTATATACATATATACGTATGTGTGTGTATTATATATAGATATAGAATATTACATATAATATATATATAATATTCTCTTTTTTACCTTTTCCCTGTCACGCGTTGTTTTTCCACTTCTCTCTCTCACTAGTTTTTGAGTTTGATTTTCATGCGTTATTTCTGACATTTCTCATATGTGTATTATATAGTTTATAAGACGTATATACTATCTGTCATCGCGGTGACAGGTTGTGTTCACTGACAACACGTTAAATAAAAATAACAATAGCGTGTGCGTAGCGCGCGCCTGTGTTGTGCTAGTAATATAAAATTACTATATATGTTTCGCGTTTCTACAGGTGTGTGAATACCGCGAGCTGTTACGAGCGTGCGTCGATTTGATTTATTTCAAGAATTAAAATAGCCGATTCTTCTTTTTTATTGTTAAAATAGCCGATTTGTGAACTCAGGAAGGAGAACAGAAAGGAATGGGAAATATACAAATTTGCAACTTCCCACACAACATACACGTAATTGTCACCAAAGGAATATTTTTAAGCGAGCAGCATCAGAATTCGTAGAGTGTACTCAGGTACCATCTCCTTTATCATCATTTGCTGCTATTTGCTTTTGTTTTTTTACAAACGCTACATATATACATATAGTTACATTACAAAGTAAAAAAAATAAAATAAGTACATTATTTAAAATTGGTTTGACGGCACACAAATATATGTGTGTCTGAAAAGTTGCATTTTCAAAAAATATATCTTTTACTGGCGTATTACAATTTATCAGAGTGTGTTACAATTTTTGAGTTTTACAATTTTACAAGTTTTTTACATATATATCGATACAATAAAGTACATACATAATAAATACGAACCACACATGGCAATATTTCTGGCAAAATTACACTTATTGTATGCTATATTTCATCGCACATTAAATTCTCGATATAAATTTTATTTACTGATGTTTTACAATTCGAATTCTTATTATTGAAGTCTTATATATAGTTTTTACATACAATAAATGTAATCTTACCTTACATAAACGAAATTTAATCTTACATTTACATGCATATGCAGTGATTCATATTAATCAGTGCATTTGCATTTTTCCTAATTTTTAAACCTGCTATATCCTACCCTAAACATCTATTTTAAACATTACTAGCCTTGTTAATCAGGATTAAGGCTGCATGGCACATGCCTTGATCCTAATCTTACATGTTTATTCCTACCTATATCCGCGGTCTAGTACATTTCCTACCTACTCGATTAAAAAAATTTCCTACCTATCCGGTCTAACATATTTTCTACAAGCGCTTGTAGATTCTTACCTACATTATTTTAGAAAGATTTAAAACCTATCAATATCGTAGATCCCTACCTACATATTTTTAGAAAGTTTTTAAAACCTATCAATATTTTACGCGAGGGGGACAATTGTTTTAAAAATACTAAGTAGTATTTTAGATATATTTTAGTTTCCCGTTCCGAGTTTTTATATTTTATGATTGAAAGAAAGTATATACCCACCCGATAAAAGCGTACCATATGTAAATAGATGAAATAGAATAAAAGAAAAGAAAAAATATATATTTAAATACATATATTTCAAATATATATTTAAATATATATTTTTGCAAAGATAAACTAGAAGAGAATAAATGCAGAGAATAAATATAAGGAGCATAAGCCTCCAAAAAACAATTCTATATCGGTTCTTTAAGAGAAAGTGATATAGAAATATGAAAGTAGATATACAAAATATAGATAAATATATATAAAAAAAAATAATAAAAAAAGCACATATATAAAAAATATTATATACAGATATATAGACATTTTATCAGAAAAGAATATATTGTCACTCACTACGTATAATTACATAAGTGTCACATACCGGATTTTCAGTTTATTGCATAGTAACAAGTTAAGAAAGTCATGTTCTTTATGGTCACCAAATATTTAAAAAAATATTTATAAGTAAAAATTTGAAACCGAAAGATCCCTTAACTAGGGAAACTATATGAAACTTTAAACTTTTAAACTGCTCTCCTCTAAAATTTGCGTTTTGGAGTTACAAGATTATACGTAGAGAGTGACGATATAGTGAAAAATCAGTGCGATTACTACTCATGCAAAATAATTTATTCTTCTCAAAAATTTTCATGGTAGAGATATGAAACATAATCGATTCTTTAATTCTAAATTATTATTTTTCCTTTATAAATGCTCAAATTCTATATCTAGGTATACATAATAATTGTATATGAGATTGAAAAGATCTCATATATCATTGTATCTAATTAAACATCATCAGATATAGGATATGTCCATATATGAAGGATATTTTTTTCCAGACTATTTAAAGAAAATTTAAAGAGAATTTAAAGATAATATATATAAAAAAGCAACTTTTGTAACAGTGAGGTGCTTTTTATGTGAGAAGAATAAATTATTTATAATAACGTACCGTTGCGCGTAGTCCCTCGCCGTCCATCGATGTATCTTAAACTCCAGTCCCACGTAGCAATC